ACACCAAACAAACAGAAGTGGAGACGATGTAAATACCCAATTATTTTATCCACTTAACCCATTGTGTGTCTGGGGTGAGCCAAAATCATTGTTTTGTAAAGCTTTGGACCCACGTTGGTTAACCAAAAGGATTTTAAAGACTGCCATCTATATACTGTGTATAGAGATCACAAATAGGAACACTATACTGTAGGTCAAAAGGCTGCAGTTGATCATGTTGGTTTTTCATCTTCTTTGACATCACAATGAAAACACTGCAGTGGATAATAATTGACACAATTGGCAATAAGGTTTAGTAGGGGAGGCCGTATCATTTTGTAAGGAGACCATATTCCTCAATGTAAATTAAGTTGATAGAAATGAGCTTTTACATGGACATTCAATGCATCATAACCAACATAGCTCATTGTAAGGCAAAAAAACAACAACAGAATATGTGATGTCTATGTTAATCATTCCAGGTGTACAAAATACAAAAACTAAACAATTAAATGTATATTATAATTGAATTGATGCAAAGAGCAGCTAGACAATTTGTTCTTTATTTTCAAGCAGTAAGGCAAAAACTCGATTCAAACTCATCCCAGTGCTCCCAGCATGTTATCGCTGTTCATGGGTGGGCAAATAATGCAGGAGGTCACTTATAGATATCTGACCAACAGCAAATTTGGTTTATCAAAAATGAAGAGGGCAGTTCAAAGACTGCTTGGACCATTACCCTTACAATGGGCTATAACTGAGAAAGCTCTTAATAGGCCGGTTCCTTGCTTAGTTTGAGGAACAAGACAAGGGAGAGCCAAAAAGAGGAGCTATGTAGTTTGTTTGACCATAAACCGTACATCACATTTTAATGTTTAGTGAATAAACCTGCATAGTTTTGGAAACCATTCTCAGGCTGACTGCAAGTACAGATACTATCCCTGAAAGGCGAGTCCATGACACATGACACTTGCAAGGATTAATGGTCCTACCCTGGTCCTATATTCCATGGAAGTTACACAGATAGATTTTTTTTGACCCCAGCAATACATTTAGTGACTGCATAAAAGATGGGCGCCTAATACAGTACTGAATCCAGGAGCTATAGATTGCATTAAGAGAAATCCATAAGGCTTTGGTTCTGCTGTCAAGAATCCCTTTGTCTATGATGATATGAGGCTGTAAGGAACATAGAAAATAATTAAATATTTCAGACAAGGTGCACCTTGTTATTCCCTACAACCCACAACACAAGTACATCTATTCTGCACAAAATACCTTGTTTATGGCACCAAGAACCGTCTATTTGCACTACATTCTAGTCTAAAATGCTTACAATCTAATCCTCACCTCACCCGCTACAGGTCAGAAAGGATAATGATAATAAGAAGAAAAACAGAAAGAGCCTTTACTTTTCTACTCTCAGCTGGGATTGGGCACGGAGAAAGGAGTACACATACACAACCGTTAAAAGCTTTCCTCTTTATCTATGCACTCACACATTTACTAAACAAAGTAGCCATCATGTTCTAAATTCAAACTACAACCTCTGTTTAGGTGACAGTCTCTTTTTAAAAGTTCTGCTTAGCATTTGATTATCTCAATGGGTTACAAAATGAATATGCAATTTCCAAGCTATAGCAAGAATGAGAATTATTCACTGCTTTTCTGTTTGTTCAGTTAAGACAACACGGTTTAATTCTGAGCACTTTATGTCAACTATTTTAAGATGCAACAATTAACATTGCTTTAGCGCATGCTGGCAATGATAATGTACACAGCAGGAAGAATAAATAAAATGACTGATGCAGAGGTGAAAAACAAGCTCACATTTCGATGGGGTTGTAACGTCAACTGACTAATTTGGAACCTGGTGGTGTTTACTTTGCCTTCTCAGTGAATCGCCTCTGTTAAGCCATTCAAGAGTCATGGTTTTGCAAGTTCTGCCCAAACAGAAATGGGGACCATCTCTAATGTCATTTATTTGGAAATACTATAGAATAAAACATTGAAAAACAGCTATAAGTTATTCATATTTTTCATGTTTCTTAAATGCATATTAAAGATTCACCAGTTGACATCACAATGCAGTTTAGACCTGGCACAGCATTGCGGGAGGAAATACTAAAAAACACTGGTCCTCCTCTTTCTCTGCTCACTGCAAGGTGCAACGGTGGGTTTATTTGTATTGTGAAAAAGGACTGGTAATATTTATATGAGACAAAAAAAAAAACACATGGAAAAAGTGAAAGAGAAAATCAAAGCTTATACCTACAGTGATTGTTACCAAAGGAGTGCATTCGGGGTAGCATCTGCGTTATACTCTTTGCAATAATGCTGAATTGTTATTTTATTTAAACTGATCCTTTTAGGACAGAAAATGCCAGACTCCGTTACAGAATGGAGCTAAATACAAAAGGTGTGGATTTACAATGTTATTTTTTTTCTTCAGATTTTACAAAAAAAAATCCCCCTATATATAAATTATAACAAAAATAATGTAAAAAAACCACACTATTTACAGCACTATTGGATGCCTGGTTTAACGTTCCCCGGAGACTGACTGACTTCAGAAGACGCTGTCAGGATCCTTTTTAAATTGTCTGTCACATTCCTGTTTGTTTTTTTACACAAGTCCAATTCTTTAGAGAAACTACACCAGAGCTAAGGTTCCACTCGTTAGTATCTGTTCAGAATTAAAACAAGTATAAACTGTTTAGTCTAAATTGACACTTATCTACTTTTGAACATGACCCATGCATTTACTTTTTTTTTTCCCCCAGTGTTTCTCAGGAAGCAAATGATCTTTGGCATAGACTTATATCACAGCTGTTCACCTAAATTTGAAAATACAAAACTTTACTGCTTAATTACCACACAGGGTTCGATACACCTATTAAAAATGCTGATATAACAACTTAAAGACCTCAGAACATTAGGTGGAGTAGAAATAAAATTAAAGAGACGCTTGAAAACGTAGGTTTCTCCTATTGTTTCCTCTTCTGTTCCTCTCTCATAATCTGTTCTTCTTTTCTTCATATTTGATCTAGTTTTCTTTAAAACACAAGATAAAGTATTGATTATGTTGTCTTGTGTATTTCTCCTACGCCTGACATTCTCTGACCAAAGGAGGAGCTTAAGTCAGCTCCATTTACTGTGTCGTAGAAAGTTTTCCTACAATATTCACCATTGAAACAGGAAATAAAGCAGACTTAAGTTCCTCTTTGTGTCAGAGAAACTCAGGCGTACGAAAAATACGCAAGATAAAAGTACCGTATTTTTCGCTCCATAAGACGCACTTTTTTTCCCCTCAAAAGTGAGGGGAAATGTCTGTGCGTCTTATGGAGCGAATGTGAAGAATTACTTACCTGTCTTGGAGCGTGGGCCGGCTTCACAGCGTGCTCCGCGGTCCAGGAACTTCTATTTCAGGTTCCGGTTTCCGGCGGGACTGAAAGGAAGTGTGCACACTCAGTGTGCACACTTCCTTTCAGTCCCGCCGGAAACCGGAACCTGAAATAGAAGTTCCTGGACCGCGGAGCGCGCTGTGAAGCCGGCCCACGCTCCAAGACAGGTAAGTAATTATGGGACAAGGGGAGGGGGATACACTATGGGACAAGGGGAGGGGAGGAGACACTATGGGACAAGGGGAGGGGAGGAGACACTATGGGACAAGGGGAGGGGGACACTATGGGAGAAAGGGAGG